TCATCTATTTTCCCCACTATGGGGATACAAGCCTTAGTTAGCAATGGCATGATAAATATTCATTTCATTATTCAATGTCTTTTTTTAAAATATTATAAATGTTATAATATAAAAAAAGACCTTGAATAATGAAATGAATATTTATCATGCCATTGCTAACTAAGGCTTGTATCCCCATAGTGGGGAAAATAGATTATCACATGTCCAGAGTGTATTATTGTATATACAGTGTATTATTGTATAGTGTGGAACAGCTGTATCCATTTCTGCATACCTGGCTTTATATTATAAAGTTCTTATAATATAAAGCCAGGTATGCAGAATTTGATATAGCTGTGCCACACTACAGAGTGTTCATGTTCTTCATGATATTAAGAAACTGACCTAAAATCATGATTTTGTATTGCTTTAGAAAAAATGTGACCTGTCCCTTTAAGAAAAATTATCGGTAATTGGTATCGGCGAGTACTTGAAAAAAAGTATCGGTACTCGTACTTGGCCTTAAAAAAGTGGTATCGGTGCATCCCTACTTTCATCCCTTAAAACAATTTTCAGGTCTCTGGAAACCCCTGCTAGCAATTATATCAAATATTTACAGTATGTACAGTACACCGTGTTACTCATTCACAGAATGTAAATGTTAAATAAGACACCCACTCCGTTACAGAGTTTTTTTAATTAGGATTATGTCTTGCCTTCCAGAGATGTAGATCCACATCAATCATGACAACCCGTCACCTGATGATGTTCACCACCACTGCTTCCGTTGATGACAGATCCCGACCAGCTTCTGTTTGTACACAAATGGGACAGTGATGCTGGGTGATGTCATTGACCAGTTATAGTCATGACCATATTTGGTCAATGATGTCACCCAGGATCCCTGACCCATTTGTTAAACAGAAGCCGGCCAGGAATCTTTCGTTTAGCACTAAATGACAGATATCTGGCCCCTGTAAACAATGTTACTTTTAAAGAAGGACATCCTACTTCTCTCCATCTTCCAGTGTAGGTTTAAGGTATTCCCAAAGCATGATATTAAAATTGTTGTTGTTTTTTTAATGTTGCCCTTTAAGCCCCATTAAAAGACCCTCTCCATGCGGTATTTTGTTTTATATTTTTGCATTGGTACATGTCCCCCATGTAGGTTTTGCCCCCAGTCCTGGATTTACCTGAACAGTCCGGGTTTTGAGTCATGTATGTGCTGTTTCCGGGTTTCAGTCCAGCTGAGGGTACGTTCACACCACATGCAGTGCGTTCTGTTCCGATTCTGGCCGGAACGCACTGCATCGCATTGTGGCCGGCTCACTTATTTGTGTGGCGGGCCATTGAAGTGAATGGCACCGTAGCCACGCCCTCTGGCCGTAATGCGATAGCCGCCACGGGATCGCGAGGCACATTGAGCCTGCGGTCCGGTCCGGTGCGATTAAAATAGTGCTTGCAGCATTTTGATCGCACTGGACCGCAGGCACAATGTGCCTTGCGATCCCGTGCAGGTGATCGCATTGCGGCTGGAGGGCGTGGCTACGGTGCCATTCACTTGACAATGGGTGCGGGTGGAGGGCGTGTCTACGGTGCCATTCCCTTGACAATGGCCCGTCACGCCCCCCTGCCCCACAAAAAAATGAGCCGCCCGCGATGCAGTGCGTTCCGGCCAGAATCGGACCGGAACGCACTGCATCTGGTGTGAACGTACCCTGAAACCCAGACCGCACATACAGGACTCATACCGCACATACAGGTGAATCTGGGACAGGTGGCAACCCTACCCCCGTGGCAGTGCCCAACTACCCATGCCCCCTTTTAAAGCTCACAAAGTGGCTTTTAAAAAAGGCCAAAAATAGAATTAACACTGCAATTGGTGTGAGCAAGCCCTATACCTGCGACATGAGTCAGTTTAACACCATAACTCTGCTAGCGTAACCCAGCCATGTACTATGGCACAGAATGGACATGACAAACATGGGGGATGTTTGCTACTGCTCACCTTAGTGAAGGGACACAGTGAGGTCCAGAAATGTTGGTGGGTTTTGTTATGCTACAATGGCTATATTTACTAACTTCTTATTTGACATGCCATCAACAACGCTGTTCTATCAGGCACTAATAGGAAATACTTCTTGAAGGACCTTACACAGTACACATGTTTTTCGGGGGTTTTGTTTTTAAAATCTCACTGTGACCCCCATATTAACTACAGAGTTCAGTAATTTTTATTGGGTCATCCAGTAAAAAGAGTATAGTGTGTACAGGTGCATTGTGAACACAAACTTTGATATACATCAACCTTGATATACAGGTGAAACTCGAATAATTAGAATATCGTGCAAAGTTCATTTATTTCACTAATGCAACTTATGCGGTGAAACTAATATATGAGATAGACTCATTACATGCAAAGCAAGATAGTTCAAGCCGTGATTTGTCATCATTGTGATGATTATGGCTTACAGCTCATGAAAACCCCAAATCCACAACCTCAAAAAAGTAGATTATTACATGCAATCAATAAAACAAGGATTGTACATAGAACAATATCGGACCTCTGAAAAGTACAAGCATGCATATGTACTCAGTACTTGGTTTGGGCCCCTTTTGCAGCACTTACTGCAATTACTTTTGCCCGATATTCTAATTATTCGAGTTTCACCTGTACATGACTATAAACAAAATTGGAATTTTGCCTTGTGATCTCGTACGACCCTAATGTTTGTATGTTTTACTCCTCCGTTCACATACATTGCACATCCTTCCACTATGAGGTGGCCTTCAGTACTGTTTGTACGGGCTGCCTGTTTCTAGTTGTCGCTCACCTGAGGACACGTGTGGTGTTGCCTGCTGGAACATTTTTAGTAGATTTTCTTGTCTTTGTTGGTTGATTTGAGATATTTGTCTGAGCTGTGCAGTATGGGGCTTGATGTTTGTTTGTCTTGTATGCAGCAAAGTCTTGCACCGAGCCTTCTCCGTGTTTCATTGTCTTAAGCACAAAATTATTTTTTTATTTCTAGCATTTTTTGTTGCATGTAATATACATTTATTCTATACAAGGATTTCAAAGCTGTCCGTTTGCTCAAGACTTCTTCTTTTGCATGCCAGTTGAGTTGATTTGCTGAGTTTGGAGTTTGTGGTCCAAACCCGGCTACTATTTGATAGCCAGCCGCAACCAATCAGAACGATGATACTGGCCTCGCACTACTCAGGCTTCCAATTGAGCTATTGTCACCCCCAGCTGCAGTCTTCCGAAAGAAGTTTTGTGGTAGAAATCCTACATTGCTGATATCATTTCTTACAGGTCTCAATTAAACACAGTCATGGTGAGCAGCTGTATCTGAATGTGGGGAATATACTTGTGTGTTGTGAATGGGCACTAAAAGTAACTTGGTATCAGCCTCTTGCATTTCTGTACAACAGAGCTCGGAGTGAGAGAGGAAGATGCAGCACAAGGCCCAAATAGATTCATATGCTGACAAGAAGCATGCTAATAGAATAGTAAAGAGTGGCGGATGGGCTCCTCTCTGTGCTGCTTTGCTGTCTAGAACTGCTCTGGCTCATGGAAAGTGGGCTGGGTTTAATTAGGCTGAAATAACTGAAAAATAGCATTTTCTCCTTCACCATTAAGCTGGCCATACACCTTACAATTATCTGTAGATTTTCTGTGGTCAGATGGAAAACGTGCAACAGATGGAGATTAGTCCATCCACACAGTTTAGGGTAGGTGGACCACAGATGGACCATCTGACCACAGAAAATCTGCAGATAAATTGTAAGGTGTATGGCCAGCTTTAGATATGGTGTAAAAAACAAAAGCCAGTTTTTGTTTCCACACCCTGCATTCACCTGTCTCATCCTTGCAGTCATTTTGTGATCTGTTGTTTCATTGCTTATCCCTTGCATAGTGATAGGATAAGTGCTAAAACAGTATATTATATAGTTACATAGTATTTGAGGTTGAATAAAGACATTAGTCCATCAAGTCCAACCTATTAGGATCTCATTCTAGGAGTACCCGTACCCCTGTATATTACGGTCCCTTAAGAAATCGTCCAAAAGTTTCTTGAACAATTCCACATTATTTGCTGAAATCACCGCCTGTGGCAGTGAGTTCCAGACCCTAACTGATCTTACTGTGAAGAACCCCCTTCGCCCCTTGTGCTGGAATTTTTTTTCCATCAATTTTAGGTGATGGCCTCTAGTTTTTGTAACGGAGT